CAATTATAATTTTCCCCTACTTTTATGCTTTTGCATCACCAAAATCACATATATTTGGTTGTTTGAACCTGGGACATTGTGGTGATCGTTAATAGCTTAGGAATATAATTGATAAATCAGTAATGAAATAATAAATAATTAATAGCTGTGTCCTTAAATGACATTGCACTAAAGCTGTTAATTAATGTAAATTAATAACACTCACCTGAATTGAAATGGAGATCTGGACAGTGACAGATGGAGGTTCATCTTTGTTGTCTGGAATGAATTAGAGATGAAAGAATGCACGGAGGATGGTAGAAGCAGGGAGCAGTGTCCTGGAATGACTGCTACTGATACTGAGACATCAATATTCGATGGAGGTGTAGCGTGATTCGAGTCAGATGATAAAAGCAGCTAGTAATAAACAGACTACAACAACAGTGCTGCCCTCAGTGTCTGCTGACTTCCAGGGATCACTCAGTTGACGGCATTGCATTATGTTAGATGGGAGGGGGAAAGATGAGTTGTATGTAGGGATGAACGAGGGAAGAGTGCAAAAGAAGATGGAGGAGAGAGTGAAAATGAAACATTTGTTAAAATAAATAGCCTTTATGGAATAAAAATGGGCCAATCTAAGAGTACTGCTTCAGCTACTGTAAACAACACGGAACAGACACTGGTTAACAAAACACACAGCTGTGTAAATAACAACCAAAATGTCAACACAACAACAAATTACAGCTGCACAATAAATCCAAAAAAATGAATCCATAAATGTGGATGGGCGCTGTGTGGGCCGGCATTGAACACAGACACGCAGAGTGAGTGGGTGAGGAGATTGCTCTGGGAGTGTGAGAGATAAGAGAAGCAAACACTGGCACAGCCTTTACAGAATAAACAGGCTTACCTCTAAAATACATGACCAAACTTTGCATGTAATGTGGTTGCTGAATTTTTGTTTTTCCCTCTGGTTTGCAGGTATATGTGGAGTTTGATGATCAGGAGTGGGAGAAGAGAGAGTGGGTCAAGGTCTATGAGGATTTCCAGCTGTTTCTACTGGAGCACCAGCTGGTCTGGGCCAATAGGAAGGAGGGAGCAGGAGGAGTGGGAGCAGGTGGAGGAGCAGGAGGCCTGCTGCAGGCAACTAAGGCCAAACACATACAGTGGCCTGCCCTGGTAAGACTTTTGTTTTCTATTTATAGGCTGAACACAGTAAAGGGAACATTCGTCTATATGACTCAGCCATTTGTGACATTAAATGTGACCACAGTGTTTACCACAAACTACTGAATGCTGTTCTTCTGAATATACCCTCACTTTGTGTTGCATGAATTTGTCTCTGTGCACGTGGATATTGGTGGTTACTGAGTGGTGGCTGTAGTTACCAGCATTGTTATGGTCTCTGTGAGTTTTGTTGAGTCTCACAGAGATGTTGGTGCTTATTTGAGGACTATCGGCTCAGTCAGTCACACAGAGTTTACCTTTTTACTGTTGATTGAGATTTTGTCTTTTTCACTGCAGGAACATTTGTTTGAACCCATGTGCCCTTTAAGAAACTTGGGAAATGTATCTGTGTTTCCACCAGAACAACCATAACCTTTAACTCTGTAGTTGCAAAAACCATAGTTACTGGTTGTTGTGTACAGCTGCAGTCACACTAAGTGAGCACTGGTTGCCAGAGTTAACAATGTGAAAAAAAGCATCCATGTCTTGTCATGTTTATTGATGTTAATCTGTGATTAAATGTGATTAGACTTCCTGAGTTGTCTGAAGGAGTGAGATAAAGAGAGGGCTGTGTGAAAGGAGAGAGAACACAAGTAAACAAGCCTGATACTGAAGGAGGAGAAGGAGAGGAACAAAGCCTGACTTGTTACTGTATTTGTTTCATTGTTGTCAGGATCTAAAGCAGGAAGAAATAATCATTGAACTCTGAGCACATTGGCATCATCTACTGTATATACAATAAACATGACTTATGACATTGTGTGTCTGATAGCACTGGCACTGTTCGGTTACTGGTCTAATTTAGCCTTATCTTCAAATGTAGATGTTTTTGGAGAAACTTCACTATAGCTGAAGTTGTAGTTTTAACACACTATCAGAACCTGGATATTAACACTAGATATATAAGCTCAGTATGAAGTTAACCAGCTGCTCCTCAGCAGCAGATACTGAGCAGTAGTTTTATTTAGTTTTATTGGAGTTGAAGTGAAATTCAATATTGGTTGAGATAGAAGAGGATCTAATTATAGGTTGTGTTGATAACTTGGGGATAGTGTTTAAAATGCCAGGCCTGTTTTACCTTTTATTTCGGGAACATATGGGTTCACTATCAGTCTGTGTAGTGAAGTGACTGTTACCGAAACCACATCTAAAATGTATTCTTCTGATGGTTGGTGGTTTCAACTGTTCCCACTCTGTTCAGTGTGTTATTATCTGTGAACACATCATCTCTTTCTCTCTGCCATCACACACAAACACACACACACACACACACATTCATGTGCTTTTTTGTGGTTACAGTATGGTTGCTGTGGTGTTTTTGTTGTTGTGTGTATATGACAAAGTTTTTCTCATCTACTGTATCATACGCACACCTCAGATGACATTGCTGTGTGTATGCTCTAGTGTGTTTGTCTGTGGCAGTGAACTCGTATTTAGGCTATCGGAGCTCAGTGTTTTCAGTCGGTCTCTGGCTGGAGGATTTGGTTTATAAATGTTTGACATTAATGACATTTAGTTTTGGACTGTGTGCATGTTTGTGTGTGCGTGTGTGTGTGTGTGTGCCCAAGAGTGGCTGTGTACGTAGAAATGTGATTCACTGTTTTGATTATGTAATAGCAATGTGCACAGCGCCATCTGGCACATGCATGGGAGATAAGAGTTCAAAGAATTCCAAACACAGTTTTAACTGGTCGTTTCTCTCTCTGTCTGAATCCTCCTCCTGTTTTTTTTCACTTATTCGTCATATCACTTGCCTCTCTGCTATTGTCATGGCAACAGCTTGAAAATCTGGTTCGCACAGACACACATGTACACACGGCCAGAACATGAAGGTTTCATGCTGCTTGCGAGCTGTACTCTACTGATCTTGTTAATAGGAATTTACCTTAATGATTAGCACTTAAAGTAGAGCCAGAAATGTAATTGACAGCCTGACTAACAAAAGATCTCACAGAAATAATGACAGCCTCAAAAGTTGACATGATAATTTCAGTATATTGTAGAGTTCCACAGCACTAGTTCTATCAATACACTGGGGCAGTCTTGTTTGGTCAACGAATAGTCTAAATTTGATTATATAAAATCACTGCATGATGGACAGGAGTCACGCAAAGTCACTTTTACTGATGGAGGAGGAAATGTAGGTCAAACTGACACAAGCAGATAATTCAACATGATTGATGTGGCAGAACGTTTGCAATCCAACCCGGCCACAGACGAGGGGAATCTAAAACGTTGTTTTGAAATACCTCAGAGTTTGGTCAGTGGACGGTAAAACTGTGGAAACTTTTGGTAGAGATATTTGAGCTATGTTAGCTATTAGCCGACATATCCAGCTCCAGCAATTTAAGATTACATCTTGAAAATATGCACCTCAATCAGCATGGCCCGTCGTAAACTCCACTCCTATTGATGTTGAAATAAATATAATTACAAATACAAAATTTTCCTTCTTATGACAAAATGAGCAAAATTAGTTTTGACAGTGCTAATAGAGATATGTCATATAAGGCACATTATCAAGATAGTAATATATACCTGTATTTGACCAAGCAGGAGCAGATCTCTCCTCTGCAGAGAAGGGTTCTCTCTTACTACCTGGAAATCTTCCAGCATAAATCAATCAACCATGGCACAAGCTCGTCTGTCTTTAATGGAAATGGAAGACGCCACTCTGAACACACCCAAAACACACCCATGATTATAAGAGACTAAGCACCTCTTGCAGTAACCTTTATTTGAAGATCTATCTCACTCCGTAGTTGAGGTTTATTATTCTGAAAGTGCTGTACAGTGAAAACAACTGTCATAGAAAGCACAAAACTCTGAGGGAGATTATGAAACGTGATTAAATGCATGAAGCAAGGAGGCACCAGGGGACACTTTCTGCTGTGAAGCAGATGCTTCAGTTGGACTGAACGTGCCGAGGAGGAACCAACTTGATTACAAAAGAAAGTGTGTGAGAGAAATACTGATAACAGGAACTAGCAGATGCTACTCTCTTATTACTTCAGCAACAAAGAAGCAGCATCTAACAGCCTTTACTTTTATTCTGTGATGTTGCTCTTCTTTAAAGTCTGAATATCAACTTCTTAGAAAGTCTTATTTGCTCCAGACTCACAGATTAATCGACAGATGGACGGAGGGATGGACAAACCCAGAACATTGCATCACAAATTATTACATCATTATATAACTAGGCCTCTGTGCCTCCAAACACTCTCTGCATCTCTTGTTTCCTTGTTTTCCTCAATTATTTATGGTTATTGATGCTTGTCTCTGTCCTTTACTCCTTTCAATGTCTCTCACTCTCTTTTCATTTTCATTCTCTCTCTCATCCTTGTGCTCCTTCTCAGTGTTAGTTTGTACAGCTCCTGTGGACTGTTATGAGCGTGTCTTTGTTATGTATTGAAAAATACTGATTTCTCTAAGTGACTATAAAACGACTTTATATAAATAATATTTGTTTAGTCGATAGACTCATCTCATCGACTAATTTAAGCTGCATAAATCAACTATCAACTCCCTTTTTAAAGCTTATAGCTGCGAGTGTGTAACCACTCACCTTAGTCAGTTTGGGGAATCCCACAAATAGGCTGGTGACTTCATGTTCTTTTTCCTACTTCATGTAAAATTTGCTGTGAAGAAGGAAAAAGCACAATGGAAAGACAGGGACGGTGAGAAATGGAGAGGAACAGACAAAGAGAAGTAAGGAATGTCGGATATGCAGCAAAACTTGCCACTGGTCCACTATCGTAGGATTAATCAGTGCTTCAGTGAGGCTAATGATAGCAGCAGCAGTAGTAAGAATATTAATAGAAGTTGTACTGCTGGTTGTAACAGCTGTTGCTGTAGTAGCTGTAGGAGGAGCAGCAGGCGGAGGCAGTAATCTGATAATCAGCATTGGAACTGGAAAAGATCCAGATAAAGTAAAGTTAAAAGAACAACAACAACAACAACAACAACAAATGACTGTGTGAAGATATCAAGATAGAGAGACAGAGATGGAGACAGAGTCATGTGTGCAGTGTGGAATTAGATTGTTTATAGAGCTAGCACTCAAACCTACATCCAAATTAGAGTTTCCATTGATGACAAGGAAGACCGATACATAAGCTAATAGACTGAAAGGTGAAGACAACATAATAGTGTGATCTATGATCAAGGATTAGTTTGAAGCTGAGATTTCTGCTCTTGTTCTGAGCTGCACTGATAAAGATCTATTAAGAATAAGAATCAAAGCATTGTCTGAAATTCTGTCAAATCAAACTCTCCCTCCATTTGTTTTAAAACCAGAGTGGACACATGGAAAATCTGTAACATGATTCCACTCATCTGTAAAAATATCTTTTGCTGTATATTATTTGTCACTGTTTTGTCCCATTCCGGATTCTGTAGAAAGGGGACTCTGGTTTTCCAGTTATCTGATTGGTCAGTAGGTGACGTGTTACCACGGTTATACAGTATATCCTAGTAAGAAGTGAACCAGCTTCGTAAAACTGAAAACCCACGATTAAACTTAAGTTACCTGGATAACTTAACAGATCATCCTTTATATTACAGATACAGCAATGGTATAAACATGTTGTTAACATGATCCAATCACAAGTGGACATCTCTGAGTATGTGAGGTCATATCTGTGAGAAAGACAGAGATTGGGGTTAGGAGGGGCTAAGGAAATCAATGGTCTGTGAGTAGCTCTACAATGAAATAACTCTTTTGAAATTGTGAACAAATAGAAAATCAATACGTGGCGGTCAGTGTTAATACTGTCGCAGTGACCACAAATAAATCAATGTATGAAACACTGAGAAGTGTAAAGATATTTTTGCATCATTATGGAAATGAGTCAGGTCCATGTTAAAACATGGGACAGGGATACACCATGTGTTGTGGGCATAGTCCATTCCAGTCTTGTATCTGTGTAAAGTGTATTATTGTGTGTGTGAAA